CAGTGTCTGAAGTCACTTGCAGCCAAGCCTGACAACCTGAGTTTAGTTCCCAGGGCCTATGCTGCACGTCTCAGTGACTGTCCTTTACTCCAATGGCTTGGGAGTTTTGGCAGGGAACATTTACTGAGCTCCTGTTGTACACAAGGACTATTCTATGCAAATATGTGTAGCACCTTCCAGTCAGCAAGCTCTCTCATGTCCCTTTGCTAACAGATCCTGCGCAGAGCCTGGAAACATTTACAGCTGACCCAGCACAGTCATGCTGTGCACAAGGCAGAGTGATCTTGTTAAGATCACCAACCGAAGGGTAGAGACTTGCTGGGAGTCACGCCACAAGCAGGTGGGCCAGTGAGGCATACATCTGATTGATTAGTCAGCCTTCTCCACGCCTCCAGGGAAAATCCCAGGATGGAGCATGGCCTCTTGCAGAGTTGACTCTGTAGCCAATGGAGGCCAGGCACAGTGTGCTTCTTGCCTCCTGGATGCTGTTTCTGCTAGCTCAGGGTGGCAGCTTGGTGCCTTGGCAGCCAGTGAGGCACCCTGGGATGGGAAATCAGGCAGCCGCCCAGATATTAGAAACAATTACCGCTAATTACCAGGCCTGCCAATTCCCCATTGTCTGCCTGCACTCCACCAGGAATCAAGGAGCAGGCGAAGAGGATGTTAGAGGAAACTTTCAATTTTGGCTTGCAAAAGGCCCCATGCTGCTTGGGGGCTGGCCTCCTCCCTTGCCTCGGAACCCACAAGGCTGTACCTTTCTCTCTCAGCTTTAGAGCCCACATCCTCCTTCCAGAACAGATCTCGGATCCTTCAGAGAGCTGGGAAGGTAGGGTGGAGAGACCCAGGATCACATCTCATCGGTGGGTCTAGCGTTAGTCTCAGCGTGAGTAACTAAGGCACTGGTTTTGTAAGAAATGGCAAACATACACTCTCGTCTCCAAACGTTTAAGTGAGTGTTTTGTTTTGTTTTGTTTGCACTTTCATTATAAAAATGTATATACTTCTGTTGAATGAAGATAATAGCTCTAGGAACTTACCTGCCTGGCTCCAGTACCAGGCTGCCTCTTTTTCTGAAGCTGACCCAAAGACTCAGCCAGAATAGGAGGCTACCCCAGAAGTCAACACTGGGAGCAAGAAGAAATCTGATAGGAAGGTAGGGCTACTAAAGGCCAGGGGTCATGCCTATGGGTCCTTCTCCCCACAGGCAACCAAAGCTTGAGGAGGCTGTGGAAGATCAAGACACCCCAGCTGCAGGCCACTCCCAGTTGTCATCAGTTGGATGTTGTCTTTGGGGTGAGATGGAAGGGGTTAGCCCCTAGTGGCTTTCTTCCTACCTTTCATATAAGCATAAAGCATTGCCATAGCCAGAAGAGCTACACCTCAGATTGTGTGGCTCATGTGAGAGAAGGCAGCTGAGAGTGCAGAGGTGCATTCTGGGAGGACAGAGTTAGCCAGACATTACCTGCATGGCTTGGGTAGTTACTGCTCTCTCCAGCTCATCTGTCAAATGGGCCCATGGATAATACGGACCAAGGACTTTAAGGCTGAAATGAATTTATACCTGTAGCAAATGCTCTTAGACCTTTGGTGGCCCAGAGTAAGGGTTGTTCATTTGCTATTACAGACCTCTGAATCAAACGCCCATTTTTCTGCTTTGTTGAGGGTTAGTCTCATGTGATTCAGGAATTTTCAGAAGGTTCTATCTATGTCCTAGACACAGAGAGAGTACATGTAGAGAGGATTCATGGAAACAGCTAAAAACAGCCAAAATACATCTGCTCTTGGTATACGTGAGTTGCATCTGTGGACTGACCCAGCTCTGACTCAAAAAGATTTGGAAAGACATCACAGAAAGTTTCCAAAAGCAAAACTTGAACTTGCCACATGCCTACCACTGTAATGAGAAGACATACATGGAACGGTGCACACGTGTGCATTGCTGTAACACCTGCCTTTTCTCGGGGCTCCCCATCCCCGTGTTCCCAGTGGGTGAACGTCATTTGGCTTGTTCATGTTGTCTCTGCAGCAGTCATATCTGTGCCGTACGTGTCCAAAATGTCTCTGTCATTATTCCTAAACCGCAGAGCGTAACAGCTGTTTACATTACCACGTGCAATGGCACGCGTCTTATGCAATCTAACCGGGATTTAAAGTGCATGAGGGGACACGGGTAGATCTGTGCGAACATTATCAATCCATCCGTCTTATAGGAAAGACTTGAGCATCTGTGCATTTGTGTTATCTCTAGGGCTTCTAGAACTGGAATTAATCCATCATGGGTACCAAGGAACAACTGGTCTATAAGATAGAGAAAGCACAGACACTGAACCTACTTTTTAGTTTACAGCATCCCACACCTTCTAATGTTCTCTTTCCATAGCATGTGCCATTTTCTTTCATAGTTTATAATTGGTATTATTTTTAGATATGTTTGTTTTTTTTTACTTATGTGTATTCATGTTTTGTCTGGACAAATATATGTGTTCTCTCTCTGTCTCTATCTCTCTGTCTCTCTCTGTCTCTCTGTCTCTATCTCTCTGTCTCTCTCTGTCTCTCTCTCTCTCTCTCTCTCTCTCTCTCTCTCTCTCTCTCTCTGTGTGTGTGTGTGTGTGTGTGTGCGCGCGCGTTTGCTTGCCTAGTGCCCACAGAGGTCAGAATAGGACATAAGACATCAGATCCTCATAAACTCGAGTTACAGGCAGTTGTGAGCCACCACATGGTGCTAGGAATCAAACCTGGGTCCTTGCAAGAACCGGTACTCTTAACCACTGAGCTCTCTCTCAAGGTCACTGGTACTGTTTCTTACTGTATCCATATGAAGGCAAAAGTCACCATCTGCCTTGTCCTTGATATGGTCTGTGTTCGTATCAAGTGCCAGGGATGTGCTACAAACCATTTGGTGACTGGATAATTGTGCCGGCTGGCTGAAAGGTCTGCATCCTTGCAGGGTTATCAATGCGGTAGTGCCAGTCAGGCTGACTGTTAACACTGTGCTTTGAAGACCATCAGGGAGAGTGGTCCATAGACCTAAGCCAATCATTCCTGTGGTTTCCAGCTTCTGGCCATGGTTACCTGCTCCTTAGTCATTGTTTCTCTGATCTCAGACACCCTCCTTTACCAGATCATCATCTCCATGGATCTTTAAGTGTACATGCCACTTTAGTATCTAGGGTGAAGAGGGACACTTGGGGCCTCAGAGACTGTCCCGGGGTTACTTGAGAAGACACCCAGGCAGCTACAGAGCTTTGTGCCCTTTCCTTGACTCCACCTTCTAAGGAGGGCGGTGTAAGCCCTGCTATTTTCAGATGCCTCGACCCTATCTGGGGTTTTCTGTGGTCTTAGAGCATCCCAGCTCACTCTGTCCCTACCAGACTCCCTGGGCTCTCCAGGCTTGGGTTTGTATGGTTTCTTGTTTGTTTGGTTTTGGTCAGGACTATCTTGGTTTTTGTTACTATCTTTCTAAGTCTGTTTCTTACTTGCAACTTAAAAGCCTTGTGGCTGAGTCTTAGTCTGTGCATCCTACTGGGCCACCCCATTCTAACACGACCCTGCTACTGGAGGGTGGAGGACCTAAGGGGCGGTAGGAAACCTGTGGTAATGGACGAGGTGGCCTGTGCCTGCTGTGGCCCTGACCATTGCTTACACAGGAAGGGAAGCTGCCGTCTGAGCTGCTTTCCTCTGGCAGTGGAGGGAAGCCCTGGGCAGCCCCTAACCAGGAGGCAGGAGAATCTGCAAGCTCTTTGTGAGGGCATCCACCACCAGGCTAGCCCTATGGGGCTCTCCTTTTAACTACCAGAGTTGCTGAGTGACCTGGCTCAACTCAGGCATCTGATCCTGGATCTAACATCTCTGCCCAAGAATTGGGGTTACCCTTCTTGCTGGTCAAATGTGTTTCTTATCTGAATAAGGGTGGAAAAGATTGGCTTGTGTTTTTGTTTATTTGTTTGGTCGGTTTTTGGTTTTGGGTTTGTTTTGTTGTGCAAGAGACCCTGGAGAGGGGAGGAGAATGTCAACATGTCCAGGTTAGAGGTGGAAAAGGGAAGGTGAGAGGTAAAGCAGAGAGAAACTAGCTAAAACTGGTTTAACCAAAGTAATAATAGTGACTGTTGACTTATCTGTTCAGAAAGAGATAATTGCATCAGGCAAAGCTTGATCCAGAAGCCTACCTAACACCTCAGTCTGATAATAGCTTCATCGATGGGCTCTCTACACCAAACACTCCAGTTCCATGTCCCAAGCCAAGTCTGATGAGAAGAGGGAGCTTCGTGCCCCTCACAGTTCATGAAGTCTGCTACAACTTTCATGTCAGATTCTCATTAACTAAACCCAGCCACACCCCTGCCCTGGAACCCTGACCAAGGAAACTGGGTACCCTGAGAGGTGGCTCTCCCTACTACAATCACGTGCTTTGACAGAGTGGGCTCTCTAAGGGAAACCAGAGGTCTTATTACCAAAGGAAGGCGAAGCGGGTATCAGGAAGCCAGACAGCTGCAGCACCTGTTGGCACCCAAGGCTGCCATGCAGGGCATCGGTTATCTCGGCCTTGTTTTGAGTGGGCCTCACATTAAATTGCTGATTCTGGTCCAGCAGCTGGGTGGAGGTGTCACGTGAGATGTGATTCTAACCAGTAGATGTATCTGATACTGCTAATCCCTGCATGCTTGGAGTATTGAAGCATTAAGCCTTTTGCACCAGCACCAGACAAAACCATCTCCCACGTTCCCTCCAGTCACCCTGGATAGTTAAGGCAGCATGTGTGGTATATAGGTCAGTGGTGGGTGGGCATGAAGAACACCATGGAGTCTGGGCATGATGGCACATGCTTTTAATCCTAGCACTTGGGAGGCAGAGTCAGACAGATCTCTGAGTTCGAGGCCAGCCTGGTCTACATAGTGAGTTCCAGGTCATCTAGGGCTACACAGAGAAACTGTCTTGAAAAATCAAACCAACCAAACAAACAACAACAACAAAAAAATCACCACATCCTTTTCTTCTTGCAGCCTTAACTATGGAGGAGTTTGTCTAGCTTCAGATGCTCAGTTCAGTGACTTCCTGGGGAGCATGGGGCCAGCACAGTTTGTGGGCCGCCAGACCCTGGCTACCACACCCATGGGTAAGTATTTGAAGCCCTGTGCCCCTCCCTCCTTACCCTTGCCTGTAGGCACCATGCTCTAAGCAACTGGCTTGGAGCCTGAGTCCCATGGTCCAGCCCTCCACAGTGCCTGCCTCTCAAGTGTCTAAGCTGCAGTTATAGGACATAGTGTGCTCTTGTTTGGGCTGGGAATGGATGCACAGGGACAGCAAGGCCCTGCTGGAGCTTCTGAGCCACTTTCTAGCATTCTCTCTTGCAGGGGATGTGGAGATTGGCTTGCAGGAGCGGAATGGCCAGCTGGAGGTGGACATTATCCAGGCACGGGGACTGACGGCCAAGCCAGGCTCGAAGACGCTGCCAGGTGTGTGGACTTCTGAGAGCTAAAGCTGGTGTGGCTCACCGGACTGAAATGCGTGGAGAGAGAGAGAGAGAGAGAGAGAGAGATCTTTCTTGTTTATCATTATACCCTGGTACCTAGTAGAGTACTTGGCACACAGTAGGGCCCAGAGAGCGTTTGTGGAGAGGTTGACAAATGAATGTGTAGCATGGTAAGATGGGCAAGCCGTGGACTGAAGGAAGAAATGGTGAGCAAAGGAAAGGGGAGGCAATAAAAACTAAAAAGGCTCACCCAGCCGAGCCCTCACTCGGTACCCAGCCAGACATGGCAGTGCATGCTACCCACCCTAAACCCATTTGCCCCGTGGCCCCTCCCCATACTCCTGCGGGTTCTCTGGTCCCCAGAAGTAGGTGATTGACCTCTGTCTGTTACACCTAATACCTACCTAATACCTGCAATTTGAGGGAGCAGCCTAGAACCCTGCCTTCTGCCCTCTGTTCCTAGCTGCCTATATCAAGGCCTATCTGCTGGAGAACGGGGTCTGCATTGCCAAGAAGAAGACCAAAGTGGCCCGCAAGTCACTGGACCCACTGTACAATCAGGTGCTTCTGTTTCCTGAGAGTCCCCAGGGCAAAGTCCTGCAGGTAAGGGAGTCCCATGTGTGTGCATGTGTGTAAGGGAGGCGTGTTCCTCAGGGGACAGGGTCTCTCAAGGGCCTTACCCAGGGGAATTGAGGCACTGGAGCTGACTCCCACCTGCAACTTCTTGTGTCACCGTGGGTTTGGTCCCTCATGAGCCTTGGCTTTCATGGGAGGAGGGCTCAACTACCCGAATTTGTCCTCTGATCTCCTTAAGGATGCCATCTCATGCACACTCCAGGCATGCATGTACACTCCATGCATGCATGCACACTCCATGCATGTATACACATATGTGTGCGTATGCACACACAAACTAGCTAACTTATTCCATAGGCTATCGAGATATCTCAGTTAAGAGTGATTACAGATCTTCCAGGGGACCCAAGTTCAGTTCCCAGAACACACATTGGGTGGCTCACAGCCACCTGTCATTCCAGCTGCAGGGATCCAGTGCCCTCTTCCAGCCCCCATAGGTAGCAGTATACACACACACACACACACACACACACACACACACACACATGCACGGGCTGCACACATACTACACATGAAATAAAAACCAATCTTCTAAAAAGACTAAAAACAAAAAGCAGTCAGTGACACCCTGTCTGACTGAGGACTATCCTTAAGCCTCTAGGCTTTGTTGACCAGGGCTGAGCCAGCCCACCCTCATAGAGCAGGATAGAACTAAAAGATGAGGTAGAAGCCAGCCAATAAAAAGCCTGCAGCCCCAGACTCAGATCCACAGGCCAGCCCTGAGAGGACATTGACCAGGAGACCAGAAGGACTACTGGTTGGAACAAGAACAGCAGCTAACAGTACACTGTAATCTCCACTTTACAAAAATGCTTCGCCAGGCCATGGTGGCGCATGCCTTTAATCCCAGCACTTGGGAGGCAGAGGCAGGTGGATTTCTGAGTTCGAGGCCAGCCTGGTCTACAGAGGGAGTTCCAGGACAGCCAGGGCTATACAGAGAAACCCCGTCTCGAAAAACAAAACAAACAAACAAACAAAAATCAAAAAACAAAAATGCTTCGTGTGGGGTTCCAAGGTTCCCTGCAGGGGTAGCAGGGAGAGCAATCATGTTACAGATGTGGGGACATCCTTCAAGGCCTTCATTTAAAGATGGGTCCATGTGGAGGAAGGAAGAGAGAGAGAGAGAGAGAGAGAGAGAGAGAGAGAGAGAGAGAGAGAAAGCTGAGGTACGGGATGGCAGTAATGGGGACACTAGAGCCAGGAAAACAAGGTTGGATTTGAGTGGTTTTTATTCTATTTTATTGATTATATTTTGTGAGCTAGGGGTACACATGCCACAGCGTGCACACTGGAGATCACATGACATCTTGTGGGAGTCTGCCCTCCTCTCCCATTACGTGGGTTCCAGCGGTGAACTTAGGTCATCAAGCTTGGCAGCGGGCATCTCTACCTGCCGCTGAGCCCTCTTGCATGGTCTAAAGAGGCAGACTCTACACAAGTTAGCTGCACTGGCCCGAGGGACCTCAGGTTCTGGCTCAGGGCCTACAAACGTCTGGGCTAGGTGTTCGTTTATTTTTACCCTTATTTTTATGTGTATGGGTGTTTTGCTGAATATATGTCTGTGTACTGCTTGTGGACCTGGAGCCTGTTCGGTGCTGGGAATCAAAGCCAGGGTCTCGTGCCAGGGATGAGGCAAGCCCTTCACCAACTGAGCAGCCCTGCCCAGCTCAGTTGCAAGATGTAATCAGGCATGGTTTTTGTCCTGCAGGTAATCGTGTGGGGAAACTACGGACGGATGGAGCGGAAGCAGTTCATGGGCGTGGCTCGAGTGCTGCTGGAGGAACTGGACTTGACCACCCTGGCCGTGGGCTGGTACAAGCTCTTCCCCACCTCCTCCATGGTGGACCCGGCCACAGGTCCGCTGCTTCGGCAGGCATCCCAGCTGTCCCTCGAGAGCACCGTGGGGCCCTGTGGCGAGCGGTCTTAATGCCAGGGATGGGGAGGGGCTCCCCGAGATGGCCTGGAGACCACCCAGCCCTGACCTGGGACCCCAGGCCCAGGGGCACATTGGACATTGGAGGATGGGGTTCTTCCCCACCGTGGGGAAGCAGAATGGGGAGACCTGCCCCCCTTGGGCCCCTCCTCACTCCTTCACCTCCTACCCCTGAGACCTTCCCTTTCCCAGTGGGTTGGCTACACTTTTGACTTGGCCGGTCTTGACCTGATGGATGCGGCTACAGTCAGAGAGAGACTGAGGTGGCGGAGCAAACCACTCTTCTGCCCTACCCTACCCCACTCCACCTAACCCCCTTTTGCCTCCTTGGAAGCTCGCTGCCCAGAGCCAAGTTCAGAACCAAGCCGGCCATCTCCATGGTGCCAATTACCAGCAAGTGTCTTTCCTGCGGCACCGGGTTCCGGCAGCTACTCCTGCCCCAGAGCTCATGGGGCAGTCTGCAAGGATCCGGAGCCAGCTCCCGAGGGAGTGTGGGTCTCCCTCTGCCTGCCCTGGAAGGAGCTTTGCCGCAGCCTGTCTGAGTCCATCCATCCACACCCTCCTGCCTGTCCCTCTGCTGTAAGCTCTAAGAATTGGGGGCCAGCAGAGACCAAAGGAAAGGAGGAGGTACCTGAGGCTTGGCAGGATCCCCAGGGGTCCATGGAACTGCAGAGCTGGTCTGGAGCTCTTGGTGGACTGGAGAGGAGGTTGTCATCTGTGATACGGTGGAGGACTGTGGAGGACCTGAGTTTCCAGAACCTTGCACACAGGGAACCACTGTCCTGTGTGGGGGCAGTAGGAGCAGAGCATTGAAGAAAGCTGCAATTAGGTCCAAGAGGCATCAAGGTCAGGGTTTTCCATATAGGAGACCCCTCCTTGTTGGGTGAGATCAAAGGTCATCTTGTTATCCCTCTGCCTCCGGGCTAGGGTCTTGGAGAGGCATTAGAGCCACACACATTTTAGTTTAAATAAACCATCCTGTACGAAGGGCAGAAGCCACTGCCCGGCCTCATCACCTTGGCTCAAGGAGAGATGGCATTCCAGAAGGAGGGATGCAGAGCTGCTAGTGTAAGAATTAGAGGCTCCAATGAGGCCTGGGTAGCTGCCTTCCTGTGGCCCTCCCTGGGGCCTGCAGGAGCCCTTTTGCATGCAAGGGAGGACACAGTCTGGCCCCCTATAGAAGCACATGTCTATCACCTTTCCTGGGAGGTGCCCAGCAGCCCACCAGTCCTCCCCATGTAGTCCCTGCTGTGTAGGGTGTAGTCCAGGTTAGCTGGGTAGTTAGTGTTCACGCCTGAGGCCTGTTAGCTCAGATATAGTCTTTTTTTCAAGCCCCAGGCTGTGAGTAGAGGGGAAACCCCAGTACATTCCAGAAGATTTCAGACTCTCTCTCTAGCCTGGGCTGCATGGGCTGCCTGGCTCCCCAGAAGCCAGCCCTTCCACTGTCTCCCTGCCTTCCTCTCTCCTCCCTTCTGGGGTTGTAGCCCTCACTGTCCATCACATTCAGCATTCTGGCGTAATACCCTCAGCATTGATTTTCTTTACGATGCACTCCTGAGGGTTGCTGGGACTTGCAGAGGGGGCCTGGACTTCATTAGATGGTGTCACTTTCCACCAAGGATGCCAGGACTCTGTTGAATCCCACCTCGTCCCTGGTTCATCTACCAAGGAATTCCTTCAACTTGGAAATTCTCCATTCCCAGCTTGGCTAAGCCCAGAGTGCCCCTTTAGGTTTCTGTCCAGTTCTGACACCTCCACATGCAGCTGTCAACACTACACAGGGAGGATGCTGTGGACAGGCCCCTCTTCTCCAACTGCTCTTCAGAGTTTCCTTGGACTGTGGATGGACAGGCCTCCTGGACGAAGTAGAAGGGCTCTCAATGGGCTCCTCTTTGAGGTCCACAGTTAGCCATCACCCTATGTTCTTTTCAACAGTGTGATATCCTTGCTGTTAGGTTATTACTCGCTGTTTGGAATATTTTGAGCCACAAGGGCACCTTCCCTCTTCAGCTGTCACTGCTGTGGTTGTTCAGGGTGGGACAGAGCCTGGCTGTCACAACCAGGTGGGGAAAGGCTCAGCTCTAATTTGTCAGAGAGAGAGAGAGAGAGAGAGAGAGAGAGAGAGAGAGAGAGAGAGAGGAGAGAGAGCATGATACCACGAAGGAGCACTGGCTCCAAAGCAATAACAACACCCTGAGGTGGTCAGTGAGGCCCCTCAGTGACTTCTTGTTTGTTCTGTGAAATCTCGCTCACCTCCTGGAGGGGTAGAGTGGGGGCTGGAGCCCCATTTATTTGTATCATTGTAAGCATGTGCCCCACTTCCAAGGGGCTGTGACCACTGGCTGTGGGAACCATTTCTGTCCTCACCAAAGGGCTGGACAGGGCTTGGGGACGGGGAGTGATTTTCATCCTTAGCTTCGGGGACTAACAAGCCCAGCCTGTTCCCACTGCTGTCTGACCCTCTGTCAACTCAAACTCTACCATCTGGAGAGGAGCAGAGAGGGTGGAGTCGGGGGCCTTTCTGGTGCTGTGTCTCTAAGGGTGTGTCTTCTTTGTTTCCTCTGGACAAAGGTCATGTATAGGACTCCCATGTAAAGGGCCATCTCCATTTTCCTTACCCAGAATGCCTCTGCATTCTGAAGGGAAGGGCCTGTGCATCCTTAGTCCATTTGCATTTTTAAAGAAAAGATACCAAGGCCCTGCCTGAGAAGAGCCATGGTGGGGTCCTTGGTATGTCCGGTGGCATTTCCACCCAGGTCTCCCCTTCATGTCTCATCCTGAGCCAGGGAAGGATGACTGGGTACAGCCATTTCTCATCCTTTCTGCTGCTTTTCTTTGGAGCCTCCTAGTGGCTCCCAGTTATGGTGGGACAAGCTGTAGTCTGTCTGAGAGGCTAGAAAACTGAGGCCACAGCAGGACGTGCTTTGGCTAAGCCCTCTCAGCAATCTACACTGGGGAACAAAGCTGGGAGACGACACTCAGGGGCAGGTCTGTCACCATCGTCATTATTTCTGGCCTCTAGGCACAGGTGGCACTGCCCTGCTCGACTCTTCTGGGCTAGTGCCTTTTCTGGGCTTGAGTTGGGAGAAGATGGCGGCTGTGAGGAGGGGTGCCGGGTTGGCTGGGATCTCCTGGGCAATCTCCCTGGGGATCATGAGTTGAAGGGTTTTACTCTGGGTCATTACCTCTCCAGGTCCAGCTAGGAGTGGGTTGACAAAACCAAGCTCCCTTCTGGGTTTGTAGAGTGGGGGGCTCAGGGAAGGCCTTTCTAACCTTCATAAGCGACAGCACTACTTCCTATAGCACCTCCCACAGTGTGTCCCCCGTGATTTTACTCTGATCCCCATAAGAGCCCTGAATAGCAAGTGAAGGGATGCTTGTAATTGTCAGCCTCGTTTTCGGGAGGGAAAGGAGGAGGTCCTGAGAGAGAGAGAGTTGCTCGCTCAAGTTCCGGCTTTGACAGCGCCCGCTCGTTCTCCAGTGGTCCACAGCGCAGGCGCGCAAGCACATAGCAGAGGGGTTAAGCGGTTCACACGCAATTCACCACCGGGTTCCTTCAGGCAGGAGCTTCTTGAACACTTCGGAGTTGAGAAACAGCACAGAGGCTCCCACACTCTCCCAAGGCAGAGCTGTTGCACCAGGCAAGGTCACCTGCATTTATTTATTGAGCAACAGCGATACACCAGGCCCCTTTCCTGTCCCCTGCAATGAGCTCTCTTGGCCCTCCAAGAGGGCCTGTGTCTGCAGAACAGGACTTTGGTGGATAGATAGTTTCTATAGATTTACCTAGCAAGCCCCAAGAGTTTTTCATTTCAGCAAGAGAGCCTGTGTGGGCTGGTGGGAGGCTAGACGTAGACATAGGTGTTACCTCTGAGTCCTTTGTGCCATCCTGCTAGATGGCAGGAAGGCAGGACCCCAGGGTCCTTGGGCTGGGAGCCTCCCTTCATCTACCCACCTTTCCCTGTGTCTTCTTGGGGAGCAGAAACAGCCTGGTCCTCCAGGGAGGGAGGGTTTGGGGGGCGTCTGAGTTGGAGTGGGTCACGTGGCATTGTGTTCATGACCACATAGCTCATGTTGGAAATTAAAAGTTTTTGGCTTTTCTACCCTGGTTTTGCTCTTGCTTTGCATTGAGACAGTTCTACCTGGGAAGTTAAAGGATGCTAGTCTTTTAAGGAGTGAGCGCTCTAGGACGCCAACGGGACTCCGACGGGCTCGTTAACACCCTCTATGCCAGCATCAGGAAGCTCTGCCACCAGTGCCCGTGTGAAGCAGGGGCTTCAGAAGAGCCCTGTTTTACAGACGGGGAAGCTAAGGCCCAGGAAAGTGATAAGAATCCCAATGATACATTGCTGGTGATTGGTGGGACCCAGAATGAAATCCATCCCACAGCACTGAGCTGCCTCTAGGTAGTGATATGGGGGAGTCCATCCCTTCATTCAAAAGGGGCTGTCCAGGGACAAGACATCTATTTGACAGTGGGGACAACCATTTACACGTGGGCCAATTCCACTCCTCATGCAGAGCAAAGAAAATGCAAAATGTCGTCTATATAGTGCAAAAATCGTCCTCTGTGAGCCATAAATTCCCTTCAGCCTGTTTATCTCCATGCTTCTAGCACAAGCATCCAGCCTTACTAGTAGAATTCTGGTGTTCAAAGTCATACCTCTCCCCACTGCAAAATATCTTGTGTCCCCTTCGATGCAGAAACCAGCCACTTGTCCTTTGAAGGACCAGCTAGGGATGCTTGACCTGGGTATCACCCCTCCTGGGGCTGATGGTCACGTTTTCCTACAAGTTTAGACTAAACAGTTTACACTTCCAGGTGGCTGTAGAGTCGGCTTGGGCTGTTAGTGCAGCTTTCATGAATATTAAAAGGGATGATCCACAGATGGTGACCGGAGCCTCAACCCCCTCCAAGCCGGAAAGAAGGGTGGGTTTGCTAACAGGCGGAACTAGACATGGGCCAGCCTTGGCCCGGGTAGGGAGGGACTATCAGATGGACTTCCTCCGGGCTCGGGGTCTGTCTGGGTTGCTGTGGCAATGATGCACGGCTTCTGGGCTCAAAGGGGGTGAGAAGGCCGGGTTGTCACATGCCCATGTCTCTAGCTGATGGACGACGGGGTACGGGATGCAGCTGGAGGCGCCGGCGCGGATGCGGCGCGCGCGCGCCCTCCTGCGGAACACGCTGGCATGACGGTGGGCTGCGCGCTCTGGGGCATCAGCGCTGGCGAGGAAGCGCAGGACCACCAGGTTGAGGAAGGCACCGATGACCGTGAGCCCCAGAAGGATGTAGAGGAAGCTGAAGGCCACGTAGGGTGGCTTCCTCTGCAGTGCCTCGTCTCTCTGCAACGCCACGAAGTCGCCGAAGCCGATGGTGGTGAGGGTGATGAAGCAGTAGTAGTAGGCGTGGAAGAAGGTCCAGCCCTCGAAGTGCGCGAAGGCAGCGGCGCCTAGGGCCAGGGTGGCAGCGCACAGCAGCAGCCCGGCCACCACCATGTTCTCAGCCGTCACGTGTGGCCGCCGCAGGCCCAGGCAGCGCTTGGCTGCCAGCAGCAGACACCGCACCAGCGCGTTCAGACGCTCACCCAGGCTCTGGAAGGTGACCAGCGTCAGGGGGATACCCAGGAGGGCATAGAACATGCAGAACACCTTGCCGGAGTCCGTGCCCGGTGCAGCATGGCCATATCCTGTGTAGGAAAAGAGATGGGATTCTGAGAGCCAAGCCTGTCCTAAGGCACTCCGGACCTCGGACCTGCCTGTCCCCAGGAGCTCCAAGCCCCACCTATGTCATTCCTGTACTCTGAACTCATGTGTGGCTATTCACAACCCAGGTGTCCCTCCCCCTAAGGGTGGATAATCTACCCGTGGTCCTTCAGAACCACAGAATTCAGTTGGGCCAACTTCTGTTCCCAGAGGTAGGAAAGTATGGATCTTAACTGTATTTTGCCCGGTGGAGGAAGCCCAGCCCCAAAGCATGGGCTCAATGATAGGATGCTCTGGCATGGGCTCAATGATAGGATGCTCTGGAAACAAGACTTGGAGAGACAGAATAGCTCAGTGGCTGCTTGCCCTAGAGGTTGAAGGGAGTGGAGAATTTGGGCAGTATGTGACGGGTCCTGTGTGCATGTACCTGACAGGTGCTCTGACAACCTACAGAGAACAGAAAACGTCGATCTTAGCAAGTTATGTGCGGTAGGAGGAACAGGAGACAGCTTCAGTGGCTTCTTAGTGCCCACAGGGTAAAGACCCAGTTCTCACAAGGAGCCCCAGTTCCTTCTTCCCCCTACTTCCAAGTCTCACCCTTCTGCTCACCTAGCCACACTGCAGCCTCACTCCTTCACTTACCTCCCTATCTCCAGCCTGACCCCTCCTCTCTCCTCTCCACTCCCCAGCCTCATGCTTCCTCTCTTTCCCACTCCCCAGCCTCACCTCTCCTCTCTCCTCCCTACTCCCCAACCTCACCTCTCCTCTTTTCTCTCCACTCCCCAGCCTCACCCCTCCTCTCTCCTCTCCACTCCCCAGCCTCACCCCTCCTCTCTCCTCCCCACTCCCCAGCCTCAGCCATTCGTCTAATCCCCAGACTCCAGATTCACCCCCTTTGTGCCTAAGTTCTTTATGTAGACCCCGTTGGGTCTCTACTAGAAAGCCACTTCTCCACGCGCCTTCTTTCATATTTCCCTTCTCCTTGGACTGGCTTTTCTCCCCTCCCAGCCCCTGCTCCCTCAAATCCCTCCTCATCTTTTGCTACCTTGTCGGCCAATTGACTCTGAGTATCTCTGGTGCAAGCACTGTTCACTGATTCCCTTCTGGATCTAGGCATGTGTGGGCTTCCTTGAGTCATATGTCACTGTGCCATTGTGGAAATGTGTGGATGTGTCTCTTTCTGGAGAGAGCAACAATAGCTTACACCAGGGAGAAGTGAGGGGATCCATCCCCATAGAGAATATCCCTCCTCCAGAAAACCTATCCCTGATTAAAGGCAAAAGGTTAGCCCTCCAGGTCACAGGGACTGCCACCGAGGTCATGGCAAGAGTTAGAAACAAGCACTGAGCCATCAATAGAGGAGGCCTGGTTAGATTCATATCAGCACCGTCCAGATGGTAGGACACTACACCAGACCACAGTGTCCTTGTCACCGTGCACTCATCTAACAATCCCTAAGGAACTCTTGGTCATCTCTACTAGGGGGTGGGAAGGGCTGTGTGTATATGTTGTAATGTGTGTTGTTGGCATCCAGAGACAGAGGCTGGGGATGCTATCAACATCTTATAGGGCACAGGGCAGGGCCCATTACAGAATTAACTGGGTCAAGATGTCAGTACTTCTAAGGTTGAGAAGTCCTGATAGTCAGCCTTTAAAAAAAAAAAAATGGTATGGCTCTTTAGGGTTGACGTAAAAAAAAAAAAAAGCATTAAGATTTACTAAGTCAAGGCCCGGGATACAGCCCAATTGAGAGTATTTGAATCACATGCCTGATGTCCCAGGTTCAATTCCCAGTTCCACATAAAAGACAAGCATGGTAGCACACACCTGTAAGTCCCCAACACTTAGGAGGCCGAGGCAAGAAGACCATAAGTTCTCTGTCATTCTCAGCTCCATAGTGATTATAAAGCCATTTTGGGTTACAAGAGGCCCTGTCTCAAACAAACAAACAAACAAACAACAACAACAAAACTACTACATGGAAAGAGCAGAAGTAGTTAGAATAGATATATACTGTCCACGTGTCGTGTGTGATGCTTGAAGGAACATGTACACAGAGCACGTAGCTGGAAGTATGCCAGAGACAGGTAAGATATCTGTGAGCCAGGGAGATGAACAGATGGGTCAAGGGACAGGATAGAGACTCAGAAAGACGGGGATGACATGTTTCCTCTTTTGTGTGGAATCTAGACTTTTTTTTTTTTAAGAGTCAGGAAGGTAGAAGAGGGGAAAAGAATGTGGGAAAGGGTCCAGGGGAGGAAGACAAGAGAAGTGGTGGCTGCGTATGGTCGGAGTGCCTGATGTGTGTGTAGCAAAATGTCTCACTGAAACCCATTGCTGTGGACCAAAAGACTTCCAGGAAAGTAGGGGAGCAGGGGGTAGGAGCCAGTTTCCTCTTCATTCTGCACCCCTCAATACCCTAGGAAACATGTAGTGTGAACATCTACAATGATTAAAGTCCCAATGTAATGTAAGCATTGAAAGCCTCATGTCTGCCTCCCTGTAGGACCGGGGAGGGACACACTCTGCCCATCACTTCTGTGAACTCCTGGCGGGCAGGAGCCATGGTAGCCACTGCTGTATATCCTGAGTCACCCAAGTGGCCAGAAAAGCAAAACATTTCCAGTTTCTATTCAGTTATGTTTTAGTTGGTTTTAGTCTTTTTTTCCCCCTAGCTTGGGTTTCAGATCAGCGAGGGAAGGAGCCAAACCTGGCTGGTAGGCTTTCCAAAACCACGGGAAAGGGCAGACGTTTCAGACAAGGCACAACCTCTGTAGGCATGGCAAATGAGAGGGTCTTGAAGTTGGGACTCGTAGACAAGAGAGGGCGGAAGTGTTGAATGGGAGCTGGCTCTGTACTTGGCAAATAATAAAGTATTACTCACAAGCCGTCGCTGCATAGCCTATGGCCCCGTGCTGGGCTCTCGCTCGCCCAGCAAGGTAGAACATTTGCCTTTTGCCTTTGACAAACACACGTGCCAAGAGGGCACAGTGGCTTGCCTGAGAAGGCAGGCAGCAGGAGATGCTCAGAACTCAGCTTTTAGGGTTGCATGGATGCATAATCCCCCGGCCCCTGTGCAAGTGCATTCTCTAAGGTGTGGGCTTCTGGTCTGCTCCTCAGAGGGAGGCCACAGGCACACCTAGCAACTACAGCTGGAGCCTCACACCAAGTGGCTAGCTAACAGGTTGGAAGCCCTCTCTCTTCTGCAGGTTCCCAGACTTAGCCCCCCGCCCCCCCCCCCCCGCCAGATGTGGTTATGGTAACAGCTGGAGTCCAAATGTTATACATAGGGGCTCCTCTGGATGCCCCAACGTGAGGTCAAAGCTTTTGGTAATCAGTCATTCCCTTAAGTTATTGGACCCCTACTAGGCTCTAGGATACTAGCCACACAGCAGTCAAAAGACAACGGAGAGTGCTGATATCACGGGGTTAACAGAACAATTGTTAAACTGAAATACAAGCAATCTTATTTTCATAATGTTTTCTGTGGGTCAGGCCCTATGCTAAAACGATCTGCACACATTATCTCCTTAATAATAATTTCCATCACAGCTGCATTCCTCCTTCCTCGCAATACGTATTAGCAATCCTAGTTTTCAAAGAATACTGTGGCTCAGAGAACTCCAGAAACTTATCTAAGGACACACAGCTAACACAATGGGACTAGGAAGCCTCACTTCTGTTCCCCGCGAGAGCCCCGGGTTTTCTAACCACCCTTGTCTCAGTTCAATCCTTTACTGATGCCTACAGTCCTGAGTTAGCTAACTGATTGCCCCCATTTCGCTCAGCGTGCTGACATGCCCTTTCCAAAGTCACAGGGGCGGAGGTAGGATCGCACTGGAGAAGAGATCAGGACTGAGCGGGGCAGAGGGGAAGCTCCGGAGGGCTCACCGATGGTGGTGATGACCGTGATGGCGAAGTAGAAGGAGCCCGCGAAGCGCCACTGGCGGCCGGCGCGGTGCGGCTCGGCTTGCAGCGCCAGGCGCTCCAGCTCGCGGTAGTCGTCGGCGGAGAAGCGATACTTTCTGCGGAACTCGCCCCGCTTCCGAGCCAGCAGCCGCTGCCGGCTGCGCTCCGCCTCGGACTCCAGCGCATCGAAGACCGCGGCGCCCACCAGCAGGTAGGACAGGATGCACAGGATGAGCGCCGCCGTGCGCGCACTCTGCTTCCTCATCGCGGCTCGCCGGCTCCGAGTGCTGATTTCCGTGCGCCCCGACGGCTCCCGCTCCATCCCTGCCGCGCCCCGCGTACAGCGGGGGGGCGGGCTCTGAGCTCTCCCGACGCTCCCCGCCCTAACCCACGCAGAGGCCAGCGGGGACATCTGGAGCAGAGGCCCAGCCCAGGTGTGCACAGCACTCGCCTCTATCCCTAACTCGCCCTAGGTCTTGGGGGCTCGGCACCCTTTCCTTCCTCCCGTCTATCATCTAGTAAATATTTACCAAGCGCCCTCTGGTGCCCACCATTCTCGGTGAGAGTGGAACAGGTATGCCGCCAAGAAGGGAGGGATGACAAATGGACAAAAAGATGAAGTAAGACAGGTGTGATGAAGGAGGAAAGTAGTACTGCTTGGGGAGGTGCGTGCCAAGCCATCCAAGAGTGACCACGGAGAGGAAATCCAGGCCCACAAACGTAGGTTCCTCGCTAAAGCAGAAGGGAGGTGACTTGATGACAGAAAACAGCAGAGACGCTGGTGTGACTGAAACCAAGAGAATTAGGATGGTGGCGAGAAAGAGAGAGAGAGAGAGAGAGAGAGAGAGAGAGAGAGAGAGAGAGAGAGAGAGAGAGAGAAACTTCTACAAATTAAATTTTTTATTAGTTAATTTTTATTTTATATTTGCCTGTGTGTATGTCTGTGTACCACTTACACAGTGCCCATGGAGGCCAGAGGAGGGTGTAGGATCTCCTGGAACTGGAGTTACAGCCACTTATGAACCACCATGTGGGTGCTGGGAATCAAACCCCAGGTCCTCTGTTAAGAACACCCCAGCCAGTGCTCTTAACCACTGAGCCACCTTTCCAGATCCCAGGCTGATTTTCCAGGACAATAGAAAACCGTGGAAAAGCTGTAAGCAAAAAAATATATATACAGTTCAACTATAATCTGGTTGTTCTTGTTGTTGTTGTTGTTTTCTTTCTTTTCTTTTCAAACGGCATCAGAGCCAGGCACCGCAGTCCACACTTGTAATCTCAGTGCTTAGGAGTTGGAGGCAGGGAGATCAGGAGTTCAAATCCAGACTAGGCTAAATAACACCGTGTCTCACCACCACACCTCAGAAAAAGCAATGGGCTGCCATGTGAAAGAGAAAAGGTGGCAGAGTGGAGACCAGCCAGGGGAACGGCATCAGTGGGATACACGCTGGAGGGGCTAGCCTTCTGTAACAGATGAAGAGAAGCAGATGGCCCTGGGATATGGTAGAGAGCTGGGCACACAGTAAGCCTTGTTGCTTAAGCCCCCTGGCATCAAGGCACTTCACCAATCCAAGCTTTAGCCAGTGGACTGTTTCGGAACTGACTCGTGCTACTCCCAGGCTGGATATCTAAAGTCCTGCCCCCAGGCCACCCCTCCCCTTTCCCTCAAGGGAAACTGAACAGATAGTTGTAGGGCCACAAAAGAGCACAGCAAAGCAGTCTGCTGTCAAGACGGCCTGTTCTGAACCTCTGATCCATTATATCAGGCTCTGAGACTCAGAGGCTGATCCACCCTGATTCACGGGTCAAGAGTTACTGGTGGATTTGGTTGTGGAGATACAGGGAAGGACTCTGGATGACCCCAGGGTATGACCAGAGCTGCTAGGTGTTGGGGAAGCCTTCCATTGACCCCACTTCTGAAGGAGCAAGGAGCCCACTACTGTCTCCATGCTCCAAATGCAGGGCTTTTTCAGAGTCCTAGATATGGATCCGTATAAAGACATCTGGCGCGGTGCCAGTTACCCTCACCTGAAGCTGTTGGGGACCACTGGCCTTCCCAAGTGTCTGCTGCAGTGTGGCATGCTTTACTATCATCACGACTACTCAGGCCTATCTCCCGATAGCCACTCACCCTTGCTTGCTCCACCCACCCTCAACTTTCAGTCCCTGCTGTAAACTCTCGCGGGACTCATTACCCCACTCGGCCATCTGTTACCTCCCTGTCATGGTCTGGGTACCAGCAAAGGTGCCATCCAGGTATTGATGGGCCTAATCCTCCCAACTCGGCTGTCTCACACCCTGGCCACGCTGCCACTCTCAGCACAGTTGGACTGATGCCACCCCGCGTGCTCTCCGCCGAGCTCCTCCTACAGAGCGCCGGCCATCTTCCGTTCCTCCCGCTATAGTATAACCCTCGAGTTCCACATATGCCCCACCCGCAAGGGTCATCCTTTGCTGTCCAGCACTCAGACCTGTGTGCGCGTGGCACACATCTAGCGGCAGTTTAAGGTCAAATGAGGACTTGCGTGTGCAAGTTAGGAGCAGCCACATCCACCGCTTCCTGAGCGTGGGTTGGTTCAATTTCACAATCACCGGAATGTTGTGTTTGTTTGGTTGGGTTTTTTTTTTTCTTTCTGTCTCATAAGGAACTGCAGTAGCATAAGAATGTCCCCTAGGGATGGCTATGCCCCATCCTTGGGATCTGTGCATACATTTGGCTGCCTGACAAAGGGCAGCTGCAGATGCTGAGCCTGGAAAGGATCTCAAGTCTCTGGTGGGTCCAGCATCACCGTAAGGGGTCCTATGCTTGGAAGATGAAGGCAGGAGAGAGAGCCACGGATTTGACAGCATGAGAAAGTCACCCTGATCACTGGAGGAAGGACCCCAAGATGAGGCAAAGCAGGTGACATCCAGAAGCTGAAAGTGGGATGAAGGCAGATCTCTTCCGTAGTCTCCAAGAAGGAATGGGGACACACAGACACCTTTATTCTAGCCCAGGGTCCAGAAAACCAAAAGGTTCTTCTTTTGGGGGTTGGGGTGGATGTGGATATGCAAGTGTACATGTGGGGTATATGCATGTACATGTTTGTGCATGCATGCACAGGCCACATGTCAATTTTGAAGGTTATTTCTCAAAAGTCATCCATCTTATTATTTTCTTGGAACAAGATCTCTTATTAGGATTCAGGGCTCTCCAGTTCAGGCAAGTGGCCAGCCAGCCAGCCCCAGAGACCCTCTGGATCTCCTCAGCTGCCGTAACAAGCCTGTGCCACCACACATGACTAAAAACTGGGTACCAGGGATTAATCTTACATTCTCCTGCTTGTGTAGCAAGCACGTTATCGGCTGAACGCTCTCTTCTCAGCCCCAAAAGGTAATTTGGAGAGGAATGGGAGGAAGGGGGAAATCTCCATGTTTTCGATGATTGACAGCTGCCATGGGTGACTGGAGAAGCCTGCCCTGAGGATTTGCCTAGGAGCATTTAGCCACTGTTGGGATCACAGAGTGTGGCCTGTGGCCTGTGAGACTTCAGTTCTGGGGCAGAATTGGGGCTCAGTGCCTATAGAGAAAGATTTGCACGCCTTCACCCCCTGAGAGTCAGCATGGCAGCCAAGTGTCCCAGAAGCGGGGTGCTGACGCGGGAGAGCTAACACAGTTGCCACGGCTTTATTTTTAGTAAGGGCATCAGCAAGTTTGTTTTTTTCTGATTCTTCTCTGCATTAGAGAGGCAGAAACCTGGGCAGGAATCTAAGGGTGGGGGCAGGGCACCAAGCCCTTCCACTATTCAAGGGCTGGAAAAGAGCCTGTGGAGACAAGCAGGTTTGGTCGTGGCAGAGGTGGGGGTTGGGAGGAGTTGATATGGATGATCCTGAGCACAGCTGAGGTCCACGAAGACCTGAGTTCGAATTCTGGCTCCCTCGTGTTCTACAGATAAAATGTTTCCACTTCTCTGTGCCTCAGCTTCCCCGTGTGGGAACCAAAACACTCGAGCTCCTCACAGAGGGAGCTACAGAAGCTATGATGTGCCACTTCCCGCTTGCCCCTGAGTGGCTAGTCTTGCTTCCTCCTTTTTCAAAATTGCCTACAGACCCCAGGAATTCTGTTTTCAGAATCAGAGGAGAGGCCAGAGGCTCTGGAGTCCCGTGTGTGCTGGGCGTTACAGTATTGTCACCTCTACAGGTCGAGAAAGAGAAGGTGTTGACCTGCCAAGCCAACTGTGGTCAAGGCTGAGACAGGACGTTAACGTGGGACTGCCTGAGTCCCCAAGGGCTTGTTAAGCAAGTCACTGTTGGCTATATCACCCTTCCAATAGCCCTGGAGTCCTTGCTTTCTTTATCTGCCAGACGGGCTGCAGGAGCCATAGTAGATGGAGCTGTCCCACCACTGTAAGGATCCAGACTCAGAGCTGAGATGTGCCATCCACTGGGGTGGGTATAAATGGGGCCATGGAGGTGCTGTCTGGCCCTGCCAGGCAGGTGACGCTTCCCTGTGCTTGGCATTTTGGGTTCAGCAGCTCTATTTTAAGCAAGAGGAGGTTAGAGTTTGTATACGTGTGTTTCTCAGCTTAGAAAGTCATCTGCTGAGCAGACACCAAAAACAGAACTCCCTAAGGCACTCCCTACAGCTCCCCCCCCCAGCCCCGTCCTGTCTGCCCTCACTCCCCCCAAGTTGGGGACCTGAGGAGACCTTGTGATTTTCCTCTGTCTCCTGGTGCTAGCAAGGTACCCAGGGCCCTTCAGTGAGGCCTGGGTTCTCCCTGAAAGCTCGAAGCTTTTGCCACTCCCACGTTGAGGAGAGGAAGCTGGGGCCTAGAATAAAAGGGAAATCATCTAAGGCCACAGGAGAACAGGTGATGAACAAAGGCCCAGGATGGAGTAGTAAGTTATCTGAGTGAGCCGGGGCTATGTCCCATCTTAGACGTGTGTCTACATCTCTCTGAGCCCCAGTTTGCCAGTCTCTGCTCCAGCAGGTGAATAGGAATATCTGCCTGACAGGATTCCTATATGGATCAAATAAATGCCCAGAGCCTCACCAGCAAATGTCATCAGCCCTCCCCCAACTGGTGTCCCCTGTGCCTTCTGTATTGCTCATTCCAAAAGACTCTGGAGATCATAAGCAATTGATTTTACAGTTAGGATGCACTTTAGTGACGTTCCAGCAGGCTCAAGCGTTTCCCATGATATGATCCCTCTGTGTTCCTCTAACAGAATTGACTGTTTTCACCACAGGGGACATCGTTGAAAACTCCTTAGAGAGCATCTGTGGCTTGTCTGCAGCCTGACTGTCACTCTGGGATCTGGGCTGCATGACATGATCGCTAACCATAGAATGATGATGAC